TGGAACACCCACCTCGAAACAAAGAGGAAAAAATTCTACAGCACAATGTGGGCTTGTAGAAGAGCCATAGGAAAAACCTGGGGATTAAAACCTAGGGTAACTCTTTGGCTATACCAAACGGTATTAATACCAAGATTCCTGTATGCTGCAGTAGTCTGGTGGCCCAGGGTAGAATTGGTGGGGAATCGGAACCTGTTAAAAAGCCTGCAAGGTAACTACCTGCGGGCTGCGACAGGGGCCATGAGAACCACACCAATTGACGCGCTAGAAATAGCGCTCAATATTCCACCCCTGGACCTAAAAGTGACAAATGTCGCCCGGCAGACAGCATACAGAATGAAATGTCAAGGGGAGTGGAAGGAAAATGGAACTGGACATACCAGGATTCATGTCCTTCGAAACACACCTTTTACATTAAAACAAGACAGAACCTCTAAACAGGTTATGATTGAACACACCTATAGGGTAAAAATACCAACCAGAGAAGACTGGAAGGAACAAAAACCGTTGATGGAACATCAGGGCGAAAACTGGTACTCCGATGGCTCGGGGTGTGGGGACCGCCATGGATCGGGCATCTACGGGCAAAATACCAACTACAGGGAGAGCATATCCCTGGGTGAACATGCTTCGGTCTTCCAAGCCGAAGTATTTGCTATACTGAGATGTGCAGAGCATCTCATAAATAATGGAGCCACACATTCCCGAATAAATATTTATTCGGATAGCCGCGCTGCCCTAGAGGCACTGGCGAAAAACACCACGGTCTCCGCCGTGGTGCGGGACTGCATGCAGAACCTCGCCAGGTTAGGGGCTGAGAATGTAGTGACTCTAATTTGGATCCCTGGACATCAGGGAATAGAAGGCAATGAGGTAGCCGATAATCTAGCCAGAGAGGGGGCCATGGAGCAACCTGGTAGGCAGATAGTTGGAATGCCCTTTGCAGAAGGTAAACAATACCTAAACAAACTCCTAGAAAGGGAACATCTCGTTCGATGGAGGAACTCGACAGGCTGTAGGGTATCCAAACAGTTCATGGAAACACCCTCAAAAGAAAGGGCAACCGAGCTCTGGGCTATGGACCGTGACAGGCTGAGCAAAACGCTTGGGCTACTCACAGGACACGTAGCACTCAGAGCACACTTACACCGACTCAAAATAGTAGAGCAGAAAACATGCCGTCTATGTGGGGAGGCCGACGAAGACAGCATACACATACTGTGTCACTGTCCAGCATTATCCTTGCGCAGGTATAAAACCTGGGGAAGGACGTCACTAGATCCCAAAGATCTAAATAAAACAAGGGCATCAGAACTGCTGAGGTTCGCAAATATCTGTGACCTCTGGCAGAATCAATGACCTTAGGAAACAGCGGGAAACTACAGAGGATCTTTAGATCTAGGTGGTCACGGGGCTGAAAAGACCTGCTCGCATAAAAACAACAACAACAACAACAACATAATATTCTGCCGTCTATATTGCAAAGTTTTTTCCATCGACATTCCGGCGACATTTTAAAGCACGAAATTAATAGTCTAGCGAATGACATAAATATTATTTTAAAAGAGCGCGCGACCGGGCGTCGGCGTCGCGGCGCGCTAATCAAATAACTCGGTGCATGTGTTTTAGGGGCGTTTTTCGAAATGTTTTTATTAAAAGCACTCCGACCGGCTGTAAGCTGTTTTCTTTATTATAATAAATTTTAATAATTTCGCAGTATATTCACGTGAAAGGGCCTTTCACTTTGTACTCGTCCGTACGGTTTATCTCCTGTACAGCCGTCCGGTTATTACTCTCATTCAGCGACGAAAGGAAAGGGAAGTTATTTAATAAAATAACCAGGATTTTTTAAAACTTTCTGAGATGTATCATACTTTTTGATCTATCTTTTTATCCAGCATCAAACATAGAACGTAATTTGTATAGTTTTAAAATTCCACCCTTTTTTTTTCATCTTGTCCTTCCCCTTCGAGATGAAATTAGTTCGAAAAGCCGGATTTTTCCGAGCATCCCGGAGATCCTTCTTAAGTGGAAACAATGCGAACCTCCTTTCTAATACCTACTCCTATAAATCCTAAGATAATTAGAAATCTCATCAGTCGAAACCCATCATACAATGAACAAAGACAACAATCCCGCCACCCCTCCCTTTAACAAATAAATCTTGCTTTGTTGCTTGTATATAGAGACATTCCAGAATCTTGCATTATATTATCAATTCATCTGTGTTCAAAAATAATACTCATTACAAATTCCAAACATATTTATACTTCAAAAATGTTTCGGGTTAACTAAGTACAATTGTTGGCATTGTAGTAGTAAAGGAAGAAAATAACAACAGTATAAATGAATAAGAAGATTATGAGAATTACACTGTATGCATTGAGTATACTACTAGAGAGATAATCGACATGATAAATACGGGTATTTATGAGTAAATTTGGAACAAACAGAAATCCGCTATATGAATAAGTAGACTAATTAGTAATATATCATATTAGGCGCTGGCTTTATGGCAAATCTCTATATCCAGGCATCCAGGCATTCAGGCAGCCGTCTCGTTTAATAAGCCAGACGAGGCGGAAGCTGGTTCAAGGCTTTGCCTACGTGGCGATAAATTAATATGCCACTTTATTTGATGCAATATCATTTTCGGTTGGTATGCGTGATACAATCATTTCTAGAATTATTCGATGATTTCCGCTAATTAGTACATAATTAGCTCTAGTGCTAATGCTTATTATCTCTCAAAGCGTAAAATAATAAAATACTAATTTTATTTCACAAATTATAAGAAAGGGAAAAAATCAGAGGATTAATTCCCCCTTTAGTACGCTCAAATTGTAGCCAAAATCTCAAGGATTAAACGGCTCAAGAATAATAATGATGATAATTTGGCCATTGTAGTTACAAATTTATTAACGCTACTTTGACACGTGATTCTTTTCGAATCCCCCGCGTGTTCTTAATTCGATTTTCGACCAGAAGGACCCCGACGATAATTAACGATTCCCTTTGCTTAATAAATCCGCCCACGCGAAAATCTCATTTCTGGTTTGGCGAAATTCCCTTTTATACCCTTTATCAAGCACCCTTTTCTATATACGAGTATACCCAGTAATTACACAAATAGAGCACGACTGTACGCGTATAATATAAAACACGTCTGATTTGCATGATTTGATGTGTCAGTTATGGCTCGGCGTTCATTCGACCGCGTAATGCGATTACCGAAAATTGTTAAAAGTTAAAATTACAATATTGATATTTTAGACGGAGTTATTTAATGATGGGAAATCCCCGTTGGGGCGCCCGAGGAGTCGACGATTTCCTTATCCAATAACCCCTTCTCGCACGAGAGGGGCGGTAATTAAATTAGCACCGAACTTTGAGCAAATACTTAATGGCATTATAAATTTTTATTAGAAAAAGTTTAGCGCTCAACTTCGGACACTAAACTTCCGGCTTCGTGGAATAGGAAAGCGGGAGAATCGTAAAACTCCCCATCGGTGTTCGAGTGGAAATTTCGCCGAACGATCGCCTACAATGAATTAATTTTTTTCACCATCTTCGAGTGCATTCCGCAATAGGCGATGTTCCAAATCGGTTTTTAATTTGTTGGCGGAACTTCCGCTAGAAAAACGTAAACTTTAAAACACAAACTCGAACGGTAAAGCGTGTAACTAAAATTGACAAAGACACATGAAATTTTAAGGCGATATAAAAAGAATTCTTCCGCGAAAGTTTTCCATCAATTTAAGAAGTTAAAAGTTTATCAAACAACTGTCATTCGTAAGGTGCTGGAGAGGCTCGCGCGAACGGAAACTTCTTTGTTTTACCTGAGTTTCGAGCTCCGCACGGGAAACTTAATGGAACTGTTCGTTGTTATTTTTAGGAGAAAGCTCTCCCGGAAAGATTTCGGGAGAGTTTTTTTCCCTCAATTGATTGAATATTGAAAGGAACCCGTCGACGAAAATTTCACCGGCCATCCTACGGGCATCAAATATAACGCAACGGAAAGGCTCGTCCGAACGCCCATCGGCGTCGGTCCGTTTAATTCAATTAATTATCCTTCAATTAACGCTTTGATATATCCTGTTGGAAGAGGCATTGTCCGTGCGGGCGGGCGACAGACCATCCTCGCGCCGACAGTGCTTCTCCATTAAAGCGACGCCGCGGCCAACGTCCGACGTCCGAACTACCAACGACGCCGTCCGTCGCCGGGAGATCCAAAATTATATAGGAAGCTACATTGTTCACCTGAGACGCGACCGGCGAAATTGATGACTCCGAGTTCGGGTATCCTCAGAGATCAGCGCGTCCTTCGTTAATTCCCCTCCATTTCGACATAATCAGGAATAATACGGATTGCAATTCGGTATTTCATGGACTACGGTCCACGATTCGCTTTAACTACATTTGAGTTGGCGACTATTGTACTTACTTATCGCCGGATGAAATTATTCAATTGCTTATCTTCGTTCGATTTACTAGCGAACGTTTTATTCTTCGGTACACATCCCTTTTTGTTGGACCACACGGAATTTGCTATCTATCGACCTAGATCGTACATATTATAGAAATTAATATTTACGCATACATATATCCCGCAAAGTACATAAACGTAATTTTGTAGTGGCATCGACATATTTCCCCCAGTTTAATGTAAACGTTTACTTTATGATTATTCATTCGAAATGGACGAACTAATTTCTGGGAATGCTTGAGCACATAAACCAGTATATACGATGCTAAACAAATAAGCAATTAAACGATTATCTAATACGTAAATTGGTTTCCACAGAATCGATATTACAATTTCGACGGCTGTAATAATCATAATCGCAAAAATCCCAGGAATAATGCTGCTAACAACGAAAATAACGATCCCCACAACAATATCAGTACTAATAATTTATCACCATACACCACAAAATTAATAATAATGTTACCTTTGATGATAGCTGTAAGGTCTAATAATAAACAAACTCGATATAATGAATAATAATTTAATGAGTTCATGATTTACTCAGCAACTGTTATAGTCCTTCTTCTCATTGACGATTGAAGAGGAGACGACATTTATTTTGTACATCGGTTGAGCTGTGTAGTATTCACAATAATATTGAAGATGTTGATAATTCCTCTGTAGATGCAACCATGCTTGAGATAGATAACTCGAATAATCGGATAGGAAATGATGATGGAACTGAGGTTCCCACAGAGGTGAACGTTGATGTGACTAGAATGAAATAATTATGAAATATTTTTATTCTATTGTATTTTTCCTTACCGTGTGCTGCCCTTGGGTTTGCAACAGATTCTTATGAGAAGAATTTGGTTCGCAATTTTGGTTCGTTTTGCTGGATACATGATCATCAATAGGCGATAATTTTTGGCAGAGGCGTTTCTCGTCGAGACAATAATTAGGAATCGGTTCGTCAACTTGCAAAAAATCGATCATAACGTGGATGAAATGCTGGCAATTCCGTTCGATCGAATCGTAATTCTCTTTGATCCAACCGTACCCCGGTAATATAATATTCACGTAATGATCGAGTTCGTTTTTGGATATATCCGTGTAGTCCATGTACGTAATTTCGGTCGGTTTCTCGTGAGTCTGCTGCACGGTAATCCCCTTGCTCGTATAAGAATATTCGAAATTGTAAACCAGTATGCTCAGATGCCACTGGGGCGCTTCCACTTCGATTGCTCTGTTGAAGAACCATTTGAATGTGCTTTCCGATTCCGATTTGTAGGCTAACAGTAACACCGAAGTGCTCATTTTTATTTCACCGCTTAATTTACTATACTGCCTCAGTGTTATTCTACCTGGTACTAAAATTCCGATACCGATTCGTAATGTTATTTCATCGATAGTATAGTAAAATGCCATACTATTACATTAATACATCGCTTGATTTTAGAGATTTACTTATGGTAAAGCATAATAATTTAAAAGTAGTGTAATAAAAATTGGGATTTATAATGACGGGATAATTAGATTGTTGTGAATATTTCTTAAATACGTAAATATTGTTGCATACATTCACTGGACTAAATCTATTTTTGCTTCCATCTTCTAAAAATACAATTCAATACTGTTATCCATTTATTAAGTTATCTAAACTATTTCCTTATCAAAATCTAAACGAGCGTTACCTGAACCGTTTTTAATCGATTAATTCCCGGTAACATAAAATTCGTTTTAGTTATGCGAGACTTAATTAAATTTGTGCGCGGGGATTAATAAGCCCGGATTAGATTTCTTTTTTACGGAGCTCATTTGAATTCATATAAATATGTAGTTGAAATTAAACTGGGAGAGCATTATGAGGTTTTCCGATAACCATTAAGACAAACATGGGAGGATTTCCTTTTAGAAGGGAGTTGCCATGACTACTACCTGTCACAAGTTTGAGATGCATCATTAGAGGACCAAAATAATCTTCTTAACGGCACGTGGAAGTGAGCGGGGTATTTACTCGTATTCGTTTATTAGGTAATTGAATAATTGAGGAACTTTGTAGTACTGGGTAATTATTAATTTTTTTAATCGGCAATCGTCTTGTTACTATAAATCTTCAAAGTGTTTACTACCACTCCGCCTTCCCGGGAACGTATTCAAATAAACCGTCAACCCTGCTCACCCCCGATGTACGCCGAAGGGCTTTCTCTCGCATAAAATCGATGTAAAATATGTAGGTACGTCTACCTGGCAGTTCTAACACACCATTAATCAAGAGAGGGTTATTGAAAATTTATACGCCGCTTTGATTTTGAATACGTTTCCAAATTAACCACTTGTAATAAGGGCGTAATAAAAAGGTTGCCGAGGATATACGTGCAAGACCTAACACTGCTTATTTTTTTTGGGGATATTCTCGAGTAATTTTTAATTATAAAATCTGTTAAAGACTTGACTTAATAAATAGATTTTTTTTGATGATATTCGAACAAATTGCAAAGAGAATTTGTAAGGCTTTTAAAGAATTGTTTCATTTTAAAAGTAGTTGTTTATTCTAACATTGTTAAATATTTTTGCATGGTTTACTATAAAGGTTTTAACATTTTTTTGTTGATTTATTCAATAATTAATGATGCATGGTTTTATCAGGATTACGAGAGAAACTTTTAATGGCTATGCATTATTAACTTTTTATTGAATTTTATGGAATGAGTATACGATCGGATATATGAAATAGGATTGTAATGGAAGTGATTATGGTTGCAACAGGAATGAGCGGTGTGTTGGGTCGCAATTAAATTCAGCTGTTTAAAGTTATTACGAATTTTCGTAACGGAGATGATAAGGAAAGAAATGGAAATAGAATGTTTGGTGTAATAGCCGGAGATGCAGCGAAACGGCTCCGATGCAAAAGCGTGTGTATACGTGTGGGCGCGGGCGCATCCCTTGGGAGGCGGCGAAAAGCTCTCTCATAATTATTTCGGTTAGAATAATTCACTTAGCAAATAACCGAGCAAACTGCTGAAGTTTGCTCGTAATTTTCATAATTTAACGGCTGCAAATTATAAATAATAATATCGCCGTTTCTGAGTTGTGTGCTTTATACGTGCAATTATAAGTGTACGATACAAATATGCGCTTTAAAGTAAAATTAAGAGTACTGAAATAGTGAAGGAAAGCTTCAGCGTGAGGAATTGATGTATGCCCATTGGAAAGTCAGACACGTAGCGAATGACTTCCTTTTTGTAAACATAATTGAAAATCCGACGCGACGTCCCGTTCACTCCATTAATCACACGCAATTCGGGAAACTTCCTTGCCATTTTCCCCGAATTATAAATAGATTATTCGTCCGTCGAATCCCCAAAGCAATCGTAGGTGCACTCCGGAGGATTGTTTCCGAAAAAACCAGTGCCGTACTTAAACATTAAAAGAACAAACCTAACAACACAAGTACGCAATTTATTAACCGAATTACATGCTAATATTTCTTGCGCTTAATCTAAATCAACTTCGCTGAAGTATAGTGGGCGCCGTAATTCATTGCCTCTCGCAACGTTATTCTAACTAAGTTATATGATTAATAGCGTTCTAACGTTGACGTACTAAAAGGTAAGTTGGTAATTACTTGGAATTTTCACAAGTTTTACAATAGCTGAACTAAACCGAGCCCGAAGTGAATTGAAGTAGCGATCGCGAACTCGTAATAAATGCACTCTACTGCCGATGCATCAGGTGCATGCACGACGAAAATTGTTAGGGTCGGAAGTAATACCGTCGCGAGACGATAATAAATTTCCTTCGCGACGATCAGAAAACTAGAAGATTTTATTAATTAATCACTAATTATTTATTCCAGCGTTCGGTATCGAGTTTCTTTGAACAACAATCTTTTAAAAGTTTTCTACAAGTTACTAGATAAGAATCCAGTTGATTTCTGGTTGGTCTTGATAATCTTCTTCCTCTAATATTCTATTCAAAAATAATATCAAACGACAAATCGGAGTTACTAACATAATTTTTGGCACTCATGAGCAACTTCTCGAAAGCGGCGTTGTACGGCTATACCCGGTGGAAAGCGCTGTTAATTTCTCCATTCGTGGGAATTTCCTTTTCTTTTGGAGACGCTCAATTCGGAGTAAAAATCGAAAAAGTTTCTCGCCGCGGCCGAGGAGAAATTACGAAAGTTTTCGCGCGAAATTCCCGGCGAAAAAGGTGAAAGGAAGCGATCGTTGTAGCGGGAAAATGCGCGAAAATAAAAGCGTCGATTCCTCCTTTCCGAAATAGAAAGCGAGATGTATCCGGCAAACAGCGGGTAGCTTAATGATGATGCTGCTGCTTTCCTAAAAGGAAAAGTCGAATAATGAAAAACCACCTAACGCGGCGGAAAAAGCAATCGCAATCCAGGTAGGTACTCAGCTACTGTTCGAATAGCGATGAATTTAAATTCCACAACCGGTTATAAGTACCAATAATTGCTGTAAACAAAACGATCGTTTGAACAACAAACAAATAAATGATCGGCTAAGTAAAGCTCAGGAGCTGGAAGTTTTCGCTGGCGTCGCAGCAGTTTCCATAATTGCCGGCTCGAGTGCCGAACAAACAAAATAACTTCATTCTGATTGTTTAGTAATTGGGCGCGACTCGAGAGACCCGACATTACCCGGGGAGCTGATTCGAATAACGTGCGCAATCGGTGCTCTTTCGAAAAATAAATCCCCAGCGAATTCTCCTAAAAAAAACCTACGTGCACACCTAAAGTGCATTATAATTGGAAATCCTTTAGAAGCTCAAATTGGTCAATTTTTCAGCAACTGCATCCAAGGGATTTTAAATGAATGACATTTTTTATTGCATAATTTAATATAATTGTTTAAAAATGTTGGTTAATTGATCAACTAGCTAGTTGATTAGTAGTGAGATGAGAGGTTAAAGAGTTAGATTAGTATAGTTTTCCGGTAGAACGTGGATATCCTTTGGCCGTTGCAATAATGCCTGCGGTGGAAAAACCGGCAAAAACAGGCAAATAAATTAGAAACCTAATGGTTGATTGGCCTCCCAACAGTGCGGATGAAGCTGATGAATAGACTGACGGCGGCACTTCGTAAATCTGGACCATTTATCAACGTTGGATGTTGATTTTGTCTAATTGCCCGAATCGTTCGAGTGGGAATGATTGAAAATATATATCGGTGGGTTTCGATAAAATTCCTCAATTATCGGCGAATTAATTACCAATGAAATCTAAGGTTTCGAACTTCAATAAAACGCACCTGATTCAAAAGCTCTTTATCTGGGGACGAAATTATTTTGTTCCCATCTAATTATTAAGGTTTCGTGTTGGTTTATTTTATAAAAGGACGACCGCACGTGCGGGGTTTTCGGTGTTGCGTTGGCCAGTTGAAGTGCTGCTAATCGAATTGATATCAAGAGCCGTTTCAATAGATTTTCATGCGAAAGGGCGCCGTCCCCATTAGGACGGAATTAGTCCCTATGCGGAATTATGATGCGATATCGCAGAACATTATGGACCCATATTCGATTGGCTGCTCTCTTTTGATGCTGTTCGTTATTACAGATTACGCCGTAGTTTTCTTTTAAATCCTTCAAAGGCAAAGTCCGAAAAAGGGAATTTAATATTCTCTAAAAGAAACCGGGCTACTCATATTTTTTTTGATTATGAATAAAAAAGTATAATGTCAATTATGGTTCATAACCAATTTTCAAAGATTTAGAATCAATTAAAGAAAAAGTAAGAAGAATTGCACAAATATCGTAATATAAAGTAAAACAAAATTTGTTACTTCATCAATAAACAAATGCGAAGTAACTAACTCAAGGGGAAATATATTAAAGAATTTTGCGGATGATGGGTTTGATTGATTAATAGGAAGAACGTTTCAAGCGATTCTTGCAAGAAGACAGAAGCTAAGAGATATTTTATATCGAAATACTGTCTTTGGTCGGTAGCAAATCGAAAGGATGATCGGATGATTGACTGAAAATAGGATATTGAAATAAATATGAGACACATAGACGTAAATTGGATATGAAAAGTTTTATGCCAGCTCGAAGTAGATGTATATCCGTATCCGAAGGAAATAAAGGATGGTGCAGAATCTGGAAATATCGATTCCATTTTTTTTCAGGTCGTTTTTTCGCTAAAGTAAGTTCGAGTAGAAAGCAGAAAGACAGGAATAACGTAAATGTTTTATTGGCTATTAGTCTGGTTTTTAGGTTGATGTTGTTGCGGCTGCATCGGAAAAATATAAAAATTTTTACTGGCTTTTCCGGCGATAGGTTGTTTATTAAACGCGGTTCATCGAGTTTAAGAAACTCATCGTGTCGCAGTTTTATAACATTACTAAAAGTTAGGCGTAATCAAAGTCTGCTTACATTTTTCGCGCGTCAAACCGAAGCGAACGCTCGCAAATGAATGGCTCGAGTTTTGGGAAAGTTAAAGAAAGATTCTACCAATAAATTAGGCAAATACGCCCCACATAATTTCAGGGAATTAGCAACAATGACAATTCGGAACTTTTGTTGCCTCTCATGTGAGAATAAATGCGAGTTTTAGCCTGTTTACGGCCATTCATTCTCAAAATTCGCTTCGAATAAATATTTTCATATGCTAATTTACAAAAAAAAACGCCTTATCGAGTGATATTTTAATTTTCTTCGGATTTGCGCGAACCAACCGACAAAAGAGTTTTCCAACGAACAATTACAGTACCTGTCGCTGTGAAAATAGCCGAGAAAAACGTTTCCACCAATGAATTCGGTCCGTCTGGAAAATTTCATGTAACTTTGATAATCTGAAATTGAATTGCCGCGCCAAATCTAAAGAAAATATTGAAATCCTCGAGAGGATACGTTCGGTTATTTTTCAAACGGATAAAAAATACGGGAGAAAACTTTTGTGTTTTCGCGTTCTCTCGGGGAAATTTCCTACGCTGCACGCCGGAGAGGTTAATATTTTTATTTGTGCCACATAATTGATTGGAATTTAATCCGTTAATGGACGTTTTAAAAGCGTCTGATGCACTACAAATAGATCCTAGAGCGACCTTTTATGAAACGAGAATTTTCAGTTTTTTTCAAATGTTGACCAAGAACAATCACTTCTTGACTAAATACATAGAGATAGAAATCGAAGAGAAAATAGTGAAATACGACAAATAGGTATTAACTTAGATGTGAATGTTGAATATGAGTGTAATTTTGAAGTAACAAAACAAAATTATTAATAAATTTGATGCATTAATTGTGACTATCCAGTAGATTTTCTCGCCGAATGATTAACAGAATCCGGCCGACCGGCAATTGAGTAAAAATCATTTCCTTCTCAATTTTAAACACAAATAACTCCATTATAAACGGCGCGGAATCGAAGGAAAATTCGATAGAAAATGGAAAATCATCGCGTTTAATTTCCATTTTCACCGGTCTGGGAAACGATTCTCCGATGATTTTCTGGTGCTGATAATAATTTATGTAAATCATTTCCGTCGGATTTTCTTCAACAAATAAAAATACTCGTAGCCGTCGATTGGATACTTTTAATTTGAAAGGATAGAGCGCGCTTTAGCCTTCAACGGCCGGAGGAGCCACTTCCTCTTTGGACTCCTCTCTCTTGTAGCTCTTGAAGAGATCGTTGGGCATGAAGAACGTGGACTTTTTCTCCCTCACTTGGGCCACATCGTATTTGATCGGCTGGAATTCGTACGGTTTCGGCGTTCTACCCATCACCTTCTTTTGAATCAAATCGTCGAATAGAGCCAATTGGGCATCTTCGACCTCTTCCACAAACGTTTTGATCGTTACGCCGTCTTTCTCGGCCTTGGGCGTTTGGTTGTAAACGCATATACCAAACGTCTTCATGCCTTGAGGATGCCAGTAAATAAATTAATTAAAGAAAATAGGCGTGTTGTTTACCTTGCTTGTACTGCTCCATGTCTATGTAACCCGTATTCATTCTATCCATTAGATAGAAAAGTTGTTCGAAGTGTTTAGTTTCGTACAAGGTAGGCGGCTTTCCAGCGCCCGATCGGTACAAAAGACACTTATTTAGGAGTTCCAAAATGAATTCTATAGGGTTTTCAGGCGCTTTCGACAGCAGGTGCGCTGTAAACGTAACCTATTAACTTTCAAAGGATGCCCTGCTAGTGTCACTGTACCAATAATGAATTGAAAAAAATCGAATATCCTGTGCACTCGCAAATACATTTGAGCGCGTCTCATGCACGCCGATGAACTGAAGACGAAATCGTCCTTCTCTAGGGGAACCTCCTCCTTCGGCGTGGGTATTTCCTCGATTTCTTGCTCTAAACCGAGGAGGTACTGGAGACGGGCGTCGCCAGCCGACGCCATATCGGTGGTCGTTTCCGAGCTCTTTTCCTTCGTTTTATCCGATGATGTTGTCGATGAAGAGGGAGTTGTTCTGAATTATTCGATTCGATTTAACTGCTATAAATTATGTCCGGAAATCGATACGTACTTGGCTTGAAAAGCTGCTTGTTCCTGCCTGCGTATATAAAGCTCGTATAGACGCTTCTCTTCGGCTGCCAGGAGGTCTTGCAGTGAATGCAGGTTCCTCATCCCGAAGCCCGTCACCAACGCGGAACCTTTATTTTCATCGTCAGGGTTCTCCACCTAATTTAGCACAAATTAGTTTACAGTTATTAATGAATTCGGGATTACTTTACTAGTATGCCTCCGCATTCTCCTTCTTTTACGACGGTTTTAAACAGAGCTTCTTGGTCCATTTCTTTCAACTTGTACTCATCGATATGGTAATGAGGAATCGGCACTTTTAGGGATGGTAGTGGTTCCTTATCTACGAACTAAAAACGACAGGATTTTGGTGAAGGGTTGTGGTGATAGATTTTTTACCATCGAATCCCCTTCTTCCATTTCATCTTCCCCGTCTATAAGCGCAGCAATGTCTTCGGGGCATAACCTTCGAGCTACGGAGGTTCGCCCCAATTGGAAGAGTTTTCTGTTTGCCATTTTGATCTGCGAATTGTCGATAAACGTCGGTTCTTATAAATAAGTTGAAAAGTGTTGTCAAAATAGTCTGCCAAAAAAGAGGACTGCGTGGAATCGAAATATGAATCCTAAAAATTTGGCCTTCTTTTAATATGTACATCGAATATAAAGTATTGATTGTACAATTTAATTTCATCCTTGCTAGGAGCAGATCAAAGTAAATGTATTTCGTGTCTCCTATATCATATTCTCATATTAATTCCACATATAGTCCAGGTGATTTTTTCAGCAAATCGGAAATATTACAATTCCATGATAGTTAAATGAGAAGAAATTAATTACTCTTCTTGCTCTTATTATAGCATTAACTGATTATACACTGAATAGTTTTTGCTTTCGTATAAATTTTACCTAACTTTGTATTTTTTTGTATTCAATTACATATTTGTCATTCAAAAGATATAATGCCTGTAGTAATACTGTACTATAATTTTCATTTTATATGAACTAAATTTTAAAAGCAAAAAGCCCGAACAAAAATCTGGGGATATTATTTCTGAACGGAGCAAATGGGTTGTTTGACATCAAAAGAATCGAAATAAAAGCGAATTGCAAATAATTTTCCATAAGCAAAGGACATTATAATAAAAACGGCGTTCTGTTCGTCAATAAAAGGTACAAAATTTTTAATATCGCTAAAAAATCAAAACGTTCTATTCCTGTAACAAATATTCCGAACACGAATAAATAAACCCCGGTAAAATTTACATTTAAATTCGACGGCTACCCGTAAAATAGAAGGCGACTCGTTGGTCTTTTTTCTTACGTTTAAACAGCTACGTTCTAATGTCTTTCTGAACTGGCTGTAAATCCCGTTCGTGCGGACCACATACGTTCATGTTTCAGTGTAAATTTCGTCAAACGATTGCTCCAGAAACAATTCCATTTATTTTTAAAGGACATTAACTTTTCCATCTCGAAAGGAACATTCGAATTTCTAACCGTTGTATTGCATAGGCGTATCATACTTAATGAACACTAGCTTTAATTATAACGAGCTTTAATCGCTTCTTTAATTAATTTTCACTTAATTCGACAATTACATGAATCAAGTAGATAATTGTTGGTGCTATGAATTGATTTATCGAAGGGATTTTCGCGTTGAAAAGTGGCACGCCGCTGGTCCGAAGATGTTGAGGAATTCCGTCGATTTATCACTTTGACTTTAATGGACCATTTGCAATGAAATTAGCTACAAATAAATAGTGATAGCAGCGTTCGGTATGCCCAAGGACAAATTAGATTGTCTCACGTTTTACGGATGCTATAAGGACTTTTGCGTTTAGTTTATTTAATTAATGGGAAAATATGGATAGCTCTCTGAATAGGATAATCGAGCTATAATTGGTCGTTAAAAGAGAAATAAAAACGATAATAAAATGATAATAAACGAGATATTTTCGAATGATGAAAATATTTTAAAGAATGGAGGTTTCATAGATAAATAGGTATTAATTTTTTATACGAACGGTAAAATATGTTTTACTTATGTGGAAGGTTTTTATTAGAAAGCTTTTCAGGGTACGAGGAATCCGAATATACTTTCATTTTCCCGATAAAAAAAGTCGGCGTATTTTCGAAATCCCAAGAGTGGGATTAGGATGATTTATGGTGGAAAAAGTAAAATGTTACTACTGCTTTTACTCTTCGGATCATTGCTCCGGATAATATTCAACTTCAAACTTTTTACCTATACGAGTTCGTAACTAAATTTAATCTACAACCGTATCCTGTATGCAAAAGTTTCCCTTAAACATCCCTCAAGTGCGCCCTTTCGCCTAATCAATCTAAAATATTTCCCCTTTTTTATTTTATACATCTGTTAAATCTTGTTAAAAGCATACGAAAACACTTTTATGAATATTACTCTCCGCCTCATTTCGCTCGATTTAAACAAGACCGTTTCCGCGGAACATCTGTTCCCGTTTTTCCCAAACAACATTTCAATTTGAGCGTATTCGAACATTCGAATCCAGATACAATGGCTTCCAGTTAAAAAAAATCTAAACGAAAGGCGTAATTCCAGTCCTGATTCGAGATGATTTTCCAGAAAAGATTGGGTAAATCCGTGCCAGTAGGGGTGCGAAATATCATTGAAAGATTTGGCTTTAAAATATTATGGAAATATAATTAGAAATTAATTTGAGTGAATTTGATACTTGAGTTGAATGTGTAGTTGTAATTATTGTGATGTACCGAGAGTGATTTTTGTTTAGGGTATTATTAAAGTTGGCATATGCTTTGGGAAAAATACAGCATAAAGATATAGGGAAAATGCTGTGCACAGTAGGCGAAAATTGTTCAGGAAAAGCCGCTAAGTTGAATGACAGTTGCATTATTTTTACATTTGTGCATATATTACCTTCAGGCGTTCGCCTACATTTTACAGACAAATTTTATTTGTCACATCGCTTTGTTCCTGCAATACTTCCTGTATTTTTAATATACACGGAGGAAATTTCATGGAATAAGCCAGAGCGAAAAATGGAAACGCAATGCATTTTATTCGGTTGATGGATTTCAATTACGGGAACCGTACACTGGCATAGTATGTGAAATCTTCGTGGCATTTTCGCCTCAAACTCATCGTAATTCGAGTTAACAGCAACATGTGCACTCTTTACTATACATATTTCTATATTCTACAATGACATCAACAAAATTGTCTCATAGTTTATTTATTTAAGTGCAAAATTAATAATATTTACCACTATTCAAATAAACACCTATTTTTTTCATTTACTTACCTCACGGTTAACTATACACATGTTCCAAAGCAATTCCGTTCCTAATTACAACTTCCCACTAATTACAATCATTAGTAATACAATACCATCGGATTGTTTCCTGCATGACCCGTATCCCGTTCGGGACTCTAAGCATTGACCTGCTAGCGCTTCAGGTATGCACTTCCTACATTACCTTCTCGATTGTACGCTTGTACTAAGCCTGACGAAATCTTCGACCGAATAATACTATAAGTAGAGGCAATCAAAATATTGTTCCTATTGTGCAAATAGCAATCAGGTATAATGGGAATCATTAGATGGAAGGGTTTGCTCATCAGGATATTCGTGGGTGATTGGAAAAATCAAATCACCCTAAAACGCACGTCAATAAACCGAAACTCCTTTCGGTGAATTTCCATATTCGCTTCCCGTCCGGGAAAGATAACGGGACAATTTAGGAGCTGAAATGATCGCGAGTAGTCGGAATATTAAAATCATGTTTCCGGGAAATGCACCGGAATAATTGCGGGGACGCGAACGGTCCTTTTGTACCGAATAATGGACTAATTACTCATTCGGGGACCGTACGCATTCGAGGAGTGACTATTAGACCGAAGGCACGGTCTTCTTCGGGTTCGGCTGGAAGGTCGTGACTCCCTAAACGGGTTTGCACGCGGAGGAATTCGACTAAGCCGGTCAGTAGCCGATTTTAATCTTTCTTTCCATTGTTCTAAATCCGAATCGAGTTAATAATTTCGTAATCTAGCGTGGAATACATAATGTCAGTTGTCGGATTAGAAAATGAAAATCTCCCCCGTGTACGGCGAGTTTAATAACTCAGTGGGTCGGACCGTTCGCATAAACTCCGTCTAATTGAATTTTAAGTTGGCATTTTAGTGTGTGAGCGTGTCGGAGCGGCGATAAGCCCCGTTCTGGGCAAATTAAGTTCCGAAAAACTGCGCTAGTTTTATAGTAGTTTGCCGGATCTGTGATAATTTCCAAGGAAATGATGCCATCGTTTACTTGTTTTGCGAATACCATAGAAAGCTTGGAGTTCGAATATCGAAGCTAATACATTCAATATTCCTAATGTAGAGATCAGCGAGAGCAACTTATTTGAATTTCGAGGGATTATCTGCGGAAACTCCCAGGATTAATGACTAACTTCTGCGTTTGAAATTACTTTGAGTACGTTCGATTGGTTTATTTTTTATATTTCGTATGGCAACTCCAGAGTATTAGAAAATACCAATATTTCGTCTCAGAATTGAGCTTCAATTAGGAAAAACTTTAACTTTGTGCGCTCTAATAGTGCGGGTATTTTGAAATTTTCACGAGATTCAAAATTCCTGACTAAATCAATCATTCCGGCTGTGATATTCAATAGGTTTTTGTTTCGATGTCACAGAAGCGGCTCGTTCGAATTCGATATTTTCCCGTTTTTCGAAATGGTTTTTCAATTTTCATTGTTGACGTTTTACAACGACATATGACTCGTACCCTAATTTCCAGCAGTCATTGTAGCGTTTGAAACATGACGTTTCATCGGTATAATCGATTTCGCAGAGCTGCATTTCAATAAATTTAAAAAAAAAACCTAATTTACTCGGCGCGAATAATTTGTGATTTGCTCGCGTCGTGTTTGTCCTGCTAAAAGTACAACAAAACGTACCGAAATTCGCAAATGACCATCTTGAAGTTGATATATGAACGAATAAATGCATAATGAATTGTTGAATAATAGGAGGAGATGCGGGATTTTAACATAAAACAAATTTAATTAGTATAGTTTGCTACCTATTCCGTAAATTCTCGGAATATTTCGAGCTCGAACTAATTACTAACCTTTCCCGGACTTCCTATAAAATATAATTAAAATTACGTTTTCTTTGAAAGCTATTTTGACTTTGTTTCCGTCTAATTGAATAAAATTATATTAGTTTAATTATTTCTCGCTAGCAAATACCTTGGTGTATACGTACTTACCAACTTTATCTCTACTCCTGCAGGGCGCTCTAAACGCGGATTTTAAATTCGTTTTTTACCACGTTTCAACTGGAAGTTGAGCTAAACTTTTCGGACGCTACTCTGTTCTATTTTAATACATTTATATTAAACACAAAGCCCTATTTAAATTCATAATGTCTATACATACTCCTTTTTACCAGGATAAAAATAACATGAGCACCAAATTACCTAATTCTTTGTTTTTCCTTTATATCTTTTCTTGTCGAACCCATTTCATTTTAAG